CAATTAACCATCTCCATTTTTGAGGCACTTACTCTTCACAAACCCACATAATCAAGCAAGATTGAAATTAAAATGTACCAAATGTCAAAAGAAAAAAAAAAAAAACGACTCAAAGATGCCTCAGTGTTGAAATATTTTTGTCAGGTGACACTTGTCCTTCTAAATCTTTACTTCCTAAATAGGTATCCTCCTATCATTAGAAAGTATTTTCTAAATTGAAGTCTAATTTACACAACCACAAGTCAGTGGAATTAGCAGTTAGTTCCCTGGGTGGCATCTGTGCAAGGGAGTGACATATGTGTGCCAAGGATGAGAGCTTGCTTCAGAGAAGCCTTTCCAGGGTGGGGTGGAACTGGGGTGGGGAGGGAAGCCTGATGGAACAGTGTCCCTGAGCCAATGTCCCAGCTTGACAGAGAATGGCCAACACTGTGGGATTCCTGCCCCTCCGAGCCATCCCTGAAGCGCCCCTGTGCGCCAACGCCAGTGACTTCCTTGGCAGTGGAGTGAATCTAAATGCACTGAGCCCTCTCCCCTCCTCCACCCCAGCCCCATCATGACTTGTTTGCTCTTCATTTATGTAATTCACATGATCACATTTATACCTCCTGACTGAAGATGAGTTACATGGATATGAATAATTTAATTCTTCCATTCTTCGTCCAGTTTCCTCTGTGACTGGAAAGTGAAAAGAACACAAAAACTGGAGAAGCGACCCCACGCTCTAATCTCAGTTGCCATGACAGCAGCCTTTGAGATACTGAAATGTTCCGATTGCCAGCTAAACAAAATTGTTGAATGTGAACATTTGGCTGGAAGATTAAAAGGCTAAGGGGAATGCAAAAGGGCAGTACCTCCCACATTCCACGCAGCAGTGAATCCAATCAAATGGCTCTGACTCCTTAACCACAGCCATTGTGAGCACTGGATTAGGGCAATTCATCTAGATAGTTAGAGCAGATTAGAACTGCAATTTGCAGACTATTGGCAACAAAAGTAAATGCCCTACTGTACTAAGTAATAAGAAGACTTCAGAACGCCTTTTAGCAGAAAGTATGCAAAACTACACATTTAAACATAAGAATTTAAACCTGAATTTTAAAAAATCCCATCGAAAGTCATCTATATAAAATGCTGTCTGACCAAGGGGACAGGAATAAAAAAAGTGTTCAGAGGATTTTTGTGATTTTGGCATTATCTACACCTTCACCAACTTCTAAAGTCATCAAATCAAAACTTTATTCCTGTACCCCAACTTAAATCTTGACCACACGAACACGGGCATACAAAGGTTTAAGTAGAGAGCAGCGAATCACTATACACACAAATAATTATCCAAAGACATCTTACAATTCTGAGCAAGTTAGAAATAGCAAAAATCAAATTATTTAATGAGCATATTTCCAAACAACCATGCCACAAGCCACATGATATGAATTTTGTAGACTTGAATCTCAAGATTAGTTGCATAGAAACATCACTCACACCCCCAGCTCACTCCCAACCTGCCCAGTGGACAGAGCACCGTCAGTCCTGAGACATTACTCAATGCACAACAATCACCAGACCAGTAAGTCACAGGCCTCCAGCACCCAGCAGCAGAACACTGGGCAGTTTCTCACAGGCCGTGTGTAACTAGACTTAAAGACAATGACAAAGATGGGCGGGAGGGTCCATATTGCCCAAGTCCACCATTCAAACTGCTTAAACGCAACACATAATTCTAGTCTCCTTTGGCTATGTTAGCACATTTCAGGAACACCAATCTACCAAATCTATTTCACTTTAAAAAAAACAAACAAAAAAAAAACAACATCAATCTTTCAGCTCCCTGGTCAAACTACAAATCTTAAATCTCCAGCTAAAAACTGGGCGAGGGAAGAAGAGTAGAGTCCTACCTAGCGGCAACCAAAGCCATCCCAGTCTTTCTACACAATTATGAAACCAATGACCCAAGGGCATCAAGGCTGAGGTTTCATTCAGGACCAATAAAAGCCACCCATCCAAGGATGAGATCCTTTGACTTTCTGGTGAAAGTGACCAACGGAAAAATAAATAAATAAATGGATTGTGGGTGGAGTGTAAATTAGCATCCTTGACATACCTCTCCAGGGAGGGACCATGAACCCTGCACCTAAGGACACATTACCAGAAATACCAGGCCATGTAAATTAAAACAGAACACGGTTCTCCTTAGGGGAGAAACCAGGACAAGAGTCAAGTGGGTACATGCACAGGTTTTCTATTAAAAGCACACCACGACTGGCTGGCTGGCTGGCGGGTGGCTTCTGCAGGGCAAAAGGTACTTAGAACACCCAGCCCTCCCACCTGGGGACCCAAACACTAGCACCACAAGCAGCAGCAGCAGCAGCAGCAGAAGCAAGAGCTAAACACTGCACCCAAGTAAGCTCCCCCACACCGAATGGTAAGGGAGAGGATGCACGTAATAGAAATCTCACAAGGAACCAAAAGCACAAATAAGAAGTGCAAGGCACACAGAGGCACACCCCTCACACACACCCACACAGAGGCACACAAAGAGGAAAGTGGGAGATCGAGGAAGGCGACTTTATCCTACCTTCTCCGTTTTCAGTTTCTTGATTCGCCTGTGGTTCTCCTCCTCCTCCTCTTCCTTCTTTACCAACATACAGTTTCCCATGAGCCCTGAATCCGGGGCACTTTTGCTAACTTCCCCTGCAGCCACGCCGCTGCCACTCCCAGCGCCCCCGCAGTGGAAGGGGCTCACGCCACCTCCATTGCTCTTGGCCCCAAAGCCATAGAGGTGCCCCCCAGAAGGGGCCTGGCCGCCACTGCCATTCTGGTGGCCCTGCAGCAGGTCGTGCTTGTCCTTCCTGGATTTCCCCGCATCCTTATCCCGCTTGGCGCCTCGGCTGCTCTGGCTTTTACCTGGTTTCTCCTCCTTGCTTTTCCCGCAGGAGGTCGCCCCCGCGGTGACAGCGGAGGTGCCGGTGCCGGTACTATTGCCGTTTGGGTTGCCGCCGCCGCTGCCGCTCACACTTTGACCCAGCGCTGAATTCATGCCAGTTGCCTCTCCAGGGCGCCCTTGGACTTCCTGCCTCTTGCCAGTGCTGCTGATCTCGGGAATCCCATACAAGGCAGCAGAAGGCAGAGATTTATTAGCATCCTTAGAAGTTTTACTCCTTTTCACTTTTGATTTGCTGGTCTCTTTGTGTGAATTCCCCTGGGGAGCAGAGGGCTGAACAGAAGCAAATTTTAGGCCATCAGCTAAGGCTGCAGTAGCACCGGCCCCACCGGAGGCCAGACCTCCACAATCCTTCGAGTTGCTACTGCTAGTGGTATTGGTGGAATTATTCATCTCAAATTTCTGTCTGTCCTTCTCCAAATCAGCGTCCAAATCAATTATTAAATTTCCAACCCCGATTTCCCAATCATCACCACTGTCATAAGTATCAACCGTATTTGGATCCACACCTTTTCCTGCAGTAGAAATGTTCACTGACATCCTGAAGATGAGCTCTCTAGAATAAAAATCCGATGAACTTTCCTTTGGAGATGAGGGGACATTCGTTTAGCTCCGCTGGGCTTTCTCTTAGGGGAAAAAAAAAATCTTCTAATCTTCCTCTTCTTTTTCCTGCCCCAGGAATGTGTCCAGGGATTTTACACCCTTCAGTCCAGGTCCACCTTTTCCTGTGAAGGGGGGAAAAGTCGAATATTTCTTGTCTGGGTGTTACCAGAATAAAAAAGGATTAATACTGGGGGAGTCGGTAAGGGGTACAGGGAAGGATGGAGAGTAAAGTGGCTCATGTATTGTCTCCACAGTCCAATATCAGGTATAAAGGAAAATAACCAAACCCCAAAAACATACCCACGGCAGTAAGCATCTTACAGTAGCTAAAAAAGAAAGTCCCTTTAGCAACAACACAAACAAAATCACTTTTTTAAAGGCATTAAAATATCTTAAGGATCTGAGTCAATTCCAGGTTTTAAAAAAAAAAAAGGAAAGAAAAGAGCTTAAGAATTTTTTTTCTAGCACATACAAGTGATATCTCAACCCCAGACACACAGCACGAACACTCAGACAAGAGGGAGGAACATGGTTTTAAACATCCCTAAGCATGTCCTAGATCTTGCAATTTAAAAGAGCAGACCCTGGAAGTTCTCTGAGATTAGTTTCAGAATGATGTTCCTATATTTTCCTTATTTCTAATTTTATTATTTCTTTTTACAAACTGGGCATTCTGGTTTTTGTTCCCAGTAAGGAACAGAAAGAAACAACCAATAATCCACCCCCCCCCCCATACACAGCCCCTCCCCTCCTATCCTTTCTTCCCCAACAGTTTATACAATTTTATTTTTGAAAAGCACACAACATGTCTTTAAGAGCATTTCTCTATAGAAAAGATAGTGTTAAATAAAAAGTGAAATATCTGCCTTTCGATTAAAAAAAAAAAATCTAAACAATTCTACCACAGTCCCAAGTCACAGACTTGCTCAATCTGTTAAATATGGTGCTACTGACTGTACAGGGAACCTGATTAAGACATACACTCTAAGTGATCTGCGCCAAGGTGGCCTCAATGACCGCAAATGAGTGTGTGTTTGACAAAGATCAGTTAAAACGGTTTTTAAAGGGATCAGCCCCTTTTTAACAGTTGACTGTCAAGAAAAATAAATAAATATACATACACACACAGACATTGCTTACCTTTAATCCTTTATCATTTTTTAATTAGGCCGGCAAATCAAAATGCCTTTCCCACGCCACTCGGCAAACAAGCTTGTGCCTTATTTTACTTAAACACCAAATGATCAAGAAGGAAGAAACCAAACAACACATCTCAGCCAGAATAATCACTCGATAACATTATTCCACCTCCCCACCCCCCTTTCGGCAAACGGATCAGGAGTCCTTTTCTCCTTAAAAAAAAAAAAAAAAAAAAAAAAAAAAGTGTCACTGTACAGCTGGAAGATAATGTTTCACATTCATAACAGAAGCACCAACGGTTTTTTTTTTCCTCTTAACAAGCATCGAGAATAATTGTGTTTTTTTTAAAAAAAGAGAAAGTTTAGAGAAAAAAAGTTTTCCCAACTTCTCATTCCGCCTTCAGTTCCAGACTTCAGAGTCACCGTGATCAGTAAGTAATGATCCCATGTAGCAAACCTACAGGCGTCCGCTAGTAACAAGACAGAATGTGCTAACATCGGGATAAATTAGTGAAAGGGAAGAAAGAAGAAGAAGAAAGGACTGAAAATCTGGGCTGGATTCAGCCTGTTAGTCGGGAAGTGGCATTTTTCCGCCCGTCCTGACAGATTTGATTTCTTGAACTAACTTAAGAGGAAAGGAGGGGGAAAGAAGAGGGGGAGCAGGAGGAGGAGGAAGAAAGGATGGGATGAGTCGCGGAGCCCGAGGAGAAAAAGAAAGGTGTGGAGGGGGAGGGGAGCAGAGGGTTCAGCGAGCTGATGAGCCAGTTATAACAGCTCTCGCTCCGGGCGGGGGGCGTTGGGGTGGGGAAGGGAAAATAACGGCGTTTAAAATTGGTTCAGCCTTCGAAACCTAAGGGATGTGATGTTTTCCTGTTTTATGTTGTTTTAAGAAAAAGGAACCGAGTTCCTAGTATAGTCCCCGCGGGGGGAAAATCCGCTGTCGCTCAAGCCAATCAGTCAGGCGGTAATTCGATAATTAGGGTAAAAAAAAAGATTTTTTTTTTTCAAGCGACCTTCTCCAGGACAGTGTTCCCCATTTATAGTCACAGCAAACGGTGCGTCTCCCTTTTATTTATTTTTCTCTTCTCCTCCTCTTTCGCCCACCCCCTCCCGTGTTTAGTCAGATGGCCCGGGAGCTTGGCTTAGTATTTTTAATTAGCTGGCGTTTGGAAGCTAAAAGCAGTAATGAATTGTTGATGGATTGGAAGTGGAGAGTCGCTTTGCTGGAAATGTCGGGGCTGGGAGAGGGGGATGGGCGAGTTAGCAACAACCAACCATCTAAAGGAGCGATTTTGTTACAGTGCAAGCCTTTCACATCACGTGAGGATCAAGGGCTCAATTGGTTGTCGTGAGAACAAAAATGGTGACAAGCGTATCAAGAAAATACTGATCTGCTCTTTAAAAAAAAGCTGAAGGTCTCTCCCCTCCCTCCCCCTGCACACACTGTCCCCACCGCCGCCTACCCACCCACCCCCTGCAGTGGGCGCAGCTACAAGTTATGAATGTGAAACATTTCTCGCAGATCTAGGCTCTCGGAAGTTCGGAAGGAGTGAAATGTAATGAGCACGAGAGCAAAGCAGATGTTTTAAAGAAACACCTTATAAACCTTTCCTCAACTTATCTCCAATTTGTAGGCTTTCCCAAGGGGCCAGGGATAGGGACGCCTGGGCGAGGGAGGGAGGCACCTCGACGCTACTTTGGTTTTAGGGAACCCCCTCCTGTCTTAAACAAAGAAAAATATTTTGCTAGCTCCAAGCCAGGTCCTGTAATAAACACACCATTGTTACTATTTGTGGGTTTGTTTGGGTTGGGTGGGGCTTTTTTTTCTTCTTCTTTCCTTAATGGTGTTTTGCTGCTTGCTTTTTTTTAAGGAGGTGGAAAATGGTCATTATCACCATTACATGTAATGGGTGACTATGCCCTTGTTTAATATTAAATTATTGGGCACTAGGATGTGACAGGAGACTGAAATCGTCTTGTTTTGCCCTTGCCCCCATTTTCCTGGCTCGGTTTGGAAGGTCTTGCCCAGCGAGGCTAGGAGAGGGAGGGGTGGAGGTGAGCCCCAGAATGGACATTGCAGATCAGGATATGTAACTGTGTCACTTTTATTCTCCTTGGGTTACAGCCCAAAAGGTAATTTACTCTAAGTTACCCCGAGTGCCCCAGTCAAGCTTAATTTGTGTGAAGAAGTTACAAATGCTTCACCCTCCACTGGCTAAAATTCACCCTTCTTGGGTTGTTGTTCTCAATGCAAAAACCAAACCCTGTAACTAGTTCCTCATTTCAATGCATAAAACTCGAACATTCCCCTGCATGAAGTCCCCGCTAAGTGCTATATAGAGACACACCACGCAACCGTACTTACGGTCTGTATTGGATCGAGTTGACCTTTTCCTTCTAACTGCATTGAATGTATTTGGTTGCAGCCGCTTTATTTTGGAAATTATAATCTCTTCAACAAATTTATTATTAAAGAAGATGGACCAGCAAATGTCACAGACTGTCCTGTGTATTTTTTATCAAAGCAAAAATTAAAAGAAAAAAAAAGAAAGAAAAATCCCCCTGGTGCACACGCACAAGCTTGTTCTGCAACACTGAAATCAGGACTGAAACACAGCACACACAGGGGGAGTGGAGCAAAAGGAGCTCTCAGCCTCTATACCTGAAAGGGACTTTTCTTTGTTCCCATTGCCCTTTCGCACTGGGCCAATCAGAGAGCAGCTTTTATGAAACTGGGCTCTCTCATTGGCTAGCTGCTTTCTCTTGGCTACTGTAGGGGGTTGAGAAATACACACGTATAAAACACACACTGAGAGCGGGTGGGGGTGCGGTGGGGGGTGGTTGTGGAGACAAAGCGTTTTATTTTCCAACCAGATTGGGGTAGAGGAGCCTCCTGCAGTAAGAAGGGGGGGGGGGGGGGAATGGTGCGCCCGTTTCAATTACTACATCATTCACCTAAAACACTTACTTATTAAAACAATTCTCAAACAGGCTGCGAGGGGAGGATGTCGGTAAATACGAGTTTGATTGTGTTATCTTGTGGGAAATAATGTATGTGATCTCTCGGTGGCGGAGAAAGCCAAATGAGCCGCCGGCGCGGCGCGGCGCGGGGAGGAGGGGTGGGTGCTGGCTGTGTGGCAGTGGCTGCAGGCGTCCTGTTGGCTTCCCTTCCTTGTAGCAAGGGCTCGGCAGCGCGAACTCCCGAAGCTGATTTTCCGTATAGCAGCTCTGGCTTTCAACCCTCCCCCACCACTTTGCCCTTCTTCCATTCCCCCCCCCCCCCCCCCCCCGCTCTGTCTCTCTTTTTGACTCGCTGATTAAATAAGAAAAATCGATCTGGGGGTAAAGGCGGTGGTGGGGAAACAAGTAACCCTTTTGTTTCCAGTCTTCGGGTCCAGCAGCACTGACGTGCAAGCGCTGGCCACCATTTAACCAACACGAAGTGAATGGTTCTTCCCTGGAATTAGTAACAAATCTTTCCCACCTGGCCCTAGGTGGCTCCAAAAAAATGCAAAATAAAATAAGATCCCAGCCAACCACATTCACACCTCAGGCCAGCCTCATTTTTTTTTTTTAAATCTATCTGTGGGAGATAAAATATACTGGGAAGATTAACCCATTAAACAGTGCCAGTCAGCATTTTTAAACCCATGGATTGTCAGAGTTCCCCTTCCCCCAAATCTTTAACCTTTCCCTGGGAAGGAGGGTGGGGGTGGGGGTGTCAAAGTCCTCTGACAGCTACAGAGGACAACCCATTAAGAATACAGAAATATTTTAGAATGTATTGTGGGACAAATGCCAGCAACCAAGTTAATAGGACTCTGAGGTCACTGGATAAGAGAGGTTAATATGAAATAAGTTCAGTATTATACTGTAACAGGTGATATACTTTAGCTAATGTATTTGTATATATTAAGCCTTTAGAGCATTTTTATTTTTACATTTTTATTGCTATTTTCCAGTACTTTAAGGAGCTACAATATGGAAAGTCTAAAGTTCAGAGGTGGTCTGAATTTAATCGAAAGCATCATGATCCCAAGTATTAACTATCTAGTGCTACTGGGATTGTAATTTCCACCTCACAATTGCAATTTAAGATTGTCTCAACTGAGCTGAATGGACATATAAAGTGAATTACTGCTAGCAGAAGATCCTTGTGACATAAATATTCAGGGATAACTTTGTGGATCAATAAAAATATTTGTCACATGTTTTAAGTATTGTCTATTTACTCATTTTTTTAGTTTTCAGTAAGCTCATACAAAACTATTTGTTACTATTTGTTTCCCACCTAGGGCCAGGTGGGAAAGATTTGTTACTAATTCCAATTGTTTCACAATCCAAGATGAACTAGATTTGATGCTGCAAACAGTAATAAATAGTCGTGTCCACCCTTTTCTAAGGTATATTAACTAGAGAAATGCAATCCATAATAGTCCTTAGATCTCCCTAAGTAGATCTGTATTCAAGTCAAAACAAAATAAAATAGGGCAAATTAGATACTTGATATCCACTTACCCTCTGTTTTAGTTTTGGTATGTTTATATTTTTTAATGTACAGCTTTTACAATCTGTGCATGTCCCATTGGCAATAATACAGCACCCTACGGTGATTTCTAACTTTTCTTCTTTTAGAAGAGGGGTTGGTTCCTCCATGGACCAGGTCACTCTTGGGCACTTTGTGTGTCCCTGGAGCATCATCTGTATTTCAGACTTTCCAAGTCTGTGACTACCCCATATGTTATGTCAGTTCTGAAAAATCCATGGTTAGCTCTCAAAACAACTGGACTTCAAAAGGCATAGACAATAAGATCTGGTGAAGTTGGAAAAGGGTAAAAGCACTCCTCTATCACACTGCCGTGATAAAAGCAAATCATAGGGCCTGTGGCACAGATTCAGTAAAACTAAAACCAAAGTGTAGGCTTTCTAATACTCAAATAATCTGATCTAACCCTAACTTTAACACCTAGCCCTAAATCTTAAACCTTTTGGATAAACTGGTTAAAGATTGAGGTTTACACCAAGCTCAACCACATATTTAACCCAAACCATTTCCATAAATCAAAGCATTTTCCTTCCATTCCAACATCTCCACACTCCATTTGCACCCGCCTCTACCTCCTGCCCTCTTTCTTCCAAGAGACTTGAATAAACCACAGTTGTTATGCTAGCTTTGCATGTGTTTGTTTTGTGTTGTTTGACAAGAGCCAATCAAGAGACATCAGAGGGCTATCAGCTAATTGATGACTGACACTAAGATAATTACCAGCTTAGAAAACTGGAGCCACTCTCTTCACAAAATTGGGAAGTTCAACTATATTTTGAAGAGACAATTTTATGTTTATCTCTTATCACGATAACAGCACACCCGTCTCCCTACTAATATCCACATGCATATATTTGATAATACTAGTGCAGTTTTGTATAATAT